TGGTTGGAACTTTGAGTAGCCCAAGCCACAGATCAGGAGCTGTTCTACACTGTTTCTGGAAGATACAGCCCACACATAAAGCCACCGGGAAATAAACCCTGATGGGTCCACATGCCCGGACCCTAGTTAGCATTTAGAGACTCTGTCAGTGTTACTGGAAGGAACCGGCTACTCTTTGTTTCTGGTCTGATTTCCGTGGGGCTGCTCTAAGTACCCTGGCGGATTATTGATGCCCTGATTCTGTCCACTTACCCTCTGCCATGAGGCCAGGGGGAGCAAAGAGGGTGTTCTCTATGTGGGTTGGGAACTGAAAAGTGTAAGATGAAGGAGCCCTAACTTGGCAGTCAGACGTGCGTTTTTATCCCAGCTCAGTCACAGACAAGCTGGGTGATCTTGGGCAAGCTACTTCCCTGAAACCTCAGCTTCGTCACGTGACAGATGAGAATCATAGTAACACCTTAACAAAGGTCACTGTCGGGATTAAATGCCCGTAAAATCCCTGGCACGTGGGATGGGATCAAAGTTATCAACATTATCATCATTGTTCTGCCTGAAAGAGGAGCTCTCAGCTACTCAGGCATCCCCTTCATCGTGAAGAGTTACCTACAAAATATTTGGTAAATTCAGGCGGAGCATCAAGGTGTCCACGCTGGCATAAACGTGGGCAGAGAAATTGTTCACTGTAAACATCCTGGGATGAACACGTGTGTCCTGGATTGCTTCTTTCATCAAAAGCTCTCAAGATTTACCTCCAAACCCAAACCTTAACCAGTTTAAATTCCTTCCCAGGCTTCTCCCCAGCCTTCAGGGTGACGCTTCAGCTCAAAAGCACGGCAAACGATACTTTTTAATCATCTGAATCTGGCTTCTCCAGCCCTGCTCCACACATGCGCTTTGCTTCAGCCCCACTGAGAGACGCAGGGCTCCAGAGGCACAGCGCTTTCTCGTCTTTATGCATTTGCATATGCTCTTCCCTCTGACTTGATGCATTTGCTTTTATCTATATGCAGATTCATATATACAAATATACACATAACGCATGGGCATGCAGATACTTTTTATATATATGCACATATATACATGCATACATATGTGCACACATATATTTTATATACATATACGCATATATACACATATACACACACACAGACTAATTCCAACTCATCCTTGAAAATTCTGATTGCTTTGTAATCCCCTAGCAAGATTATTCCTTAAATCTGCATTCTGGCGGCCAAAGGGACTTCCTTTGGGGATCCCTTTGAACCAATGTTTAATCTACAGTCCCCTAGAGTCTCCTAAAGAATCCACCACACTTCCTACTCTTCTTATTTATTTGTTTTTTTTTTTTTGCCTGTGTCTCCCACCAGACCACGCACTCACAGGGAGACAGGGCGCTGCCTCTCTTGCCTCAGTTTCTGGTACATAATAGATACTAAAAAATTGAATAAAAGGAAGAAAGGAAGAAATGGTGCTAGGAGTATTTTAGCTTAATTTTTGGTTTATTTGGGTCTGAATTTGCCTTTTAAGTAAGTTCCTGGAGATCAGGGGAAATGCCTCATTTATATATATATATAATTGAAGTATAGTTGATTTCCAATGTTGTAGTAATTTCAAGCGTACAAGAAAGTGATTCAGTTTTAAGTATATATACATATATATATTCTTTTGTATTATAGGTTATTATAAGATATTGAATATAGTTCCCTGCGCCATACAGTAGATCTTGTTGTTTATCTATTTTGTACATAGTGTGTATCTGTTAATCCCAAACTCCTAATTTATCCCCTTTCCCCTTTAGTAGCCGTCAGTTGGTTTTCTGTGCCTTTGGGTCTCCTTCTGTTTTATAAATAAGTTCATTTGTATCATTTTTTTAGATTCCACAGATAAGTGATATCATGATATTTGTCTTCCTCTGTCTGACTTTACCTAGTATGATAATCTCCAAGTCCATCCACGTTGCTGCAAATGGCATTATTTCATTCTTTTTTATGACTGAGTAATACTCCATTGCACATGCGTGCGTGTATCACATTGTCTTTATCCATTCATCTGTCAGTGGACACTTAGTTTTCTTCCATGTTTTGACTATTATAAATAGAACATTGAGGTGCATGGATCTTTAAGAAATATAGTTTTCATCTTTTCCAGGTACATACCCAGGAATGGGACTGTGGGATCATATGGTAACCCTATTTCTAATTTTTTAAGGGACCTCCATACTGTTTTCCATGGTGGCTGCACCAAATCACATTCCCACCAGCAATGTAGGAGGGTTCTCTTTTTCCCACATGCTCTCCAGCATTTATTATTTATAGACTTTTTGATGATGACCATGCTGACTGGTGTGAGGCGATATCAACAGATACATGAAAAGAGGCTTCCAATCACTACTTATTAGAATCATGCCTGATTTATCTTTGAATCCCATGTGCTTAGACCAGTCTTTCTTAAACTTGGATGCACACTGGATTCACCCAGAAGCTCTAAAAGACCCAGAAGCCCAGGCATCAGGACAGTAGACAATCTTCCCAGGTGATTTCATGTGTGTCCAAGGTTAAGAATCACTGGATTAACTGGAGGCTGCTCAACAAATGCACAGTGATTGACCCATTCAATCAAAAGCCTCACCTGGGCCACATGTCTAACTAGGTCAAGGAGAACAAGGGAAGAGTGGGGAGGAGGGGGAAGCGAGAAGAAGGGCACCATTAGCTTTTGATTGAGTCACCTAAAGAGTTTGACTCCCCCGCCCCCAGGAATACAAAATGAGTTTCAAAGAGAATTTAATTTAAGCACTGTTCCCTCTTTCTCTTTCATTTCTGATTCTGTTGGTCATTGTCATGCGTAGGGGCGGGATGGGAAGCTGAATTTCCCTGAAATGTTGTGAGTGTGTCTTGAAAAGCATCACTGTAAATAGGAAGATGTCTGATGATTTCTCTGGTCAAGAGTATGCAGCTCCGTTTTGCCTCTTCTATGACTTTCCATCGTGAGGTCCACCCAGCTGTGCTCCCATCATAAGACAGCCAGGACTGGCCTGCATAATTCAGATCACAAGGCATATAAGCGTGATGGTAAAGGAAGCTGATGTTTAATTTAATGAAACTGATGTTTAATTTTAGTAGATTCTCCTAAAGAACTGAGCACAAACAAATCACAGACTCAAAAATGAAAAGGAACGAGGAGAATGTGTTTGGGTGTCATTTTACAGACATAATACAAGAAAATTGAATTTGAAAGATTATATGAATCCCTGAATCACAGTAAATTTTTTTTTGCAAATTCAATGGAAGTGTGGCATTTTACATGGAATTTTCTCAATTTGATCCATCAGTTTCCTTAGCATTTACTGATTAATTTTCTGCAGAGTAGCCTGTGATACGATTTCTTTCTGTTTAGATTTCAAGGTAGCATGTCATGGGGAAAGTTAACTTGACTATCTTGAATATCTTCATTTATTTCCATGAAACTAAAAAAAAAAAAAAAAAAGTGCTTTAACTTCCTTTTTTTCCAATTCAAAAGCTACCACTCAGGCATTGCTTCTTATAAAACTGGATTTGTGTTTTGCAAAGATTTAGAAAAATTTCATGTTAAATTATTTAAAGGTTTCTGCTTTATCATACTTCGTGTTTATATTCCAAACAATGAACCATGCTCCCCTCTTCCCGTATTATCCTCTCTTCCAAGCAAATGGAAGACGGAATCAAATTCTGCATTTGAACTCTGATGACAAATTAGATTATGATACTCTTCACTGCTACTTGGGTGTATTTGTATAAGAGACTTGTCATTGGGAGAACATGGCAGCCTTAGTTTTCCCAAATGCCAAAGGAGCCCCTTACCTTCCCCATGAGCTCATCTTCTATTAGTTGGCTGGACTGAACAGTCAAATTTAATTTTGATGCTTCCAGGAAGAGCAGATAGAAGGGAGGAGCAAAGGAAACATGATAATAATACTCATCTCACTGGTAGACAGTTGGTAAGAGCAGACGAGGTCTAGCTGGGCATTAGCTGACACGCATGAGATGATTGGATCCAAGCCTCGAAGTAACTCTCAACAGTAGGACCGTGATGTTTCAAATGATGCAGCAGAAACGTTGAGAAGACATGACTTGCTTGTGGTCGCAGCTGGTGAGTGGTCTGACCTCAAAGCTGATGCTCTTAACTACTATAGCCCCGCCTCAATTTGTCACTAAAGAAGGGTTAACTACGCCTAGTTGACGCAGAGGATCTCAGAAGACCAAGGGTCTAGTCCTGAATTTCCATCACCACTGTGTGTTGGCCTCAGCGATCACTTCTCCTTTTCGCTTTCTCATCTGTAAAACGAGGGCTTCTGCTCGAGTGGGTTAGACCGTTCTCTGCGTGTGAATTGCCCACTGCTGGATAACTCCTCTCCGTCCAGTTGGAAATGGCAGTTGTCTTAGGGACCGTGGGCAGGGCCGGTTGGAAGCCAGCACGTTGCCCTGAGCTGCAGAGATGGCCCAGAGCAAATGCTTCCACACCGGAAGCAGGCTCTTATCCTCAGACCTGTCTAGAAGAGGATCTCTTCGTGTTGTACCAAACTTCACACCACCAAGGAGTCCTCAAAGGTCCACATTTGTGGAAAACACGAAGAATTCTTTTACCTTCACTCGTGATTCTTTTTTCTTCTTACAAAAAAACCAAGACATTTAGGAAATACAAATAAGCCAAACAGCAAAAATATGAATTATCACTGATCCCCAGGACCTTTTTCTCTGTGCATTATAAAGGCACATATGTCTATTTTTGAAAAATTGTTACTGAGTCCACACACGTTCTGCTCGCCGCACGACAGGCCAGTAAATCAGGAGATGAGGTGTTGGGGCAAGGAATAACAACTTTATTCGAAAAGCCAGCAGACCAAGAAGATAGGGGACTAATGTCCTAGAGAACCATCTTCCCCAACTTAAAATTCAGGCTCCTTTATGCTAAAAAGGGAGGGGGTATGTTTGTTTGCTGTAGACTTCTTGCTGTCAGAATCCTTTGTTCTTGCAACTGTCCACATAGGTCAGGTTATGATGTCCCTATAAACCTCCAACGAGACAAATTTTATTCTCTGTTCAGCAACTTTTTATTTCTATATGAATGGGAAAGTGTCATACCCTTAAGGGTCAGAGCCTTGAGAATGAGCTCTCCTGTATATTTCTTTTATAAAAGGTGCAGAACCAGCATGACTGAGCACAGGAAACAGGGCACAGGGTTAGACCCAAAGGAGCAGATCTAATACAGAATCAGATTTGTTCCTCCCTACTACAAAATGAGATTATACTGTATACATGGTTAATGATCTGATTTTCCCCCAATTAATTTTTTTCGTAACTGAAATAGTTTTGTCATAATCCCTAATAGGTAGATAAAAATGGAGATGCTCTCTCTTGGGGGAAAGGGTGTGGAGGGAGGGGAGTGTGCCTACCACAGCTGGAGCGCCTCTGTCCTGAAGCACTACAGGGCAAAGCCTAGACCTTAGAAAAATGAGGATCTTTCTTTGGATAAAAATAGTATTAAAAGATACTAGTAGCCATGCTTGTTACAACTATGGTTTGTTTAAAATCTAAGAAGAATAGAAAAATCTGTGCTCTCTTCCCCCCAGGCTAGAAAAGCAGCCTGGACTCTCCCTAAGACGAGACAACTGAAAGAGGGGCTAGGGACGAAAAACAGGTACCTTGTGGCTTTCCTCCTCTTCCCTAATTTCAGACATTCACGCACATCTGAAATACTCCCTACCTAGAAGAAGCAATTCCTCCACAAATGAACAAGGAGAAGTTGCTGGTGGTGGTTGTTGTTTTAAAGAAGCGGAGGGGCTCTCCGTTCCTTCCAAGTGGGGCTGGATCTGTCGCCAGCAAAAGCAGATGGCCCCTTTCCTCTGCCCTTTAGTTTTGTGACTGTGAGACGGGGAGATTTTTCGGCAGTTGCAGTAGTTGGCTTCGTCCGCGACGCCAGGCAACGCCTCGGCGACAGCAGCTCGTCTTTTTGCATTTGGGTTCTCTAGATACGGACTAAGCAGAGCTTCGTGTTTTCACATCAGAAGCTGATGATGAGCCATGGGAGGGGAGACGGAGTTAAACAGACTCTTCCCCACTCTCCATGTCTCAGTCCTGCCGCTCGCAGTGCGCTTCACGTGGAATTTATGGTGCTGGGTGAAAAGCCGGCTCTGAAATGTACCCTCTACCGTGTCCTCTGGCAGAATGAAACCACCTTCCTGGTGACATTTGATGCTGTCAAAGTAGCAGAGGCATCGTGATCTCACAATGTTCCCTGAGATCCAGGCACTGGGCTTCTGCCTTCAGTTTTAACTTTTTGATGCGTTTTCCATGTGACCTCAGGCAAGGAATTTAAGCTCTTTATTTTTCTCAGATCATAATACCACCTCATTTATCTCTTAATGCTTGACCTAAAGCACTTTGTTGAGAGATTTGCATGGATTGGCGGCTCTCCACCTTACTTGCACATTAGGACCTCTTGGGGTATTTTTTTTTTTTTAACTACCGTCACCAAGCTCCAATGATTCTAAAGTGTAGCCAGAACTTAGAAACACGAGCTCTGACAATCCCGCTCAGAATTACTCTCAACTTTCTGTGCTTGTTTTCTGTTTTCCTTCTGATAACTCCTAACCCCAACAAGTCTTTATTATTTTTTTCTTTCTGGACAGGGTTTACCTGTTGGCAATGAACGGTAAGCTTCTTAGGGAAGGAGACAGATGAGTGGTTTATCTTTGAATTCCTATTGTGACCAGAGGGAACCCGATTTCAAAACTTAAACTTAGCTCTCAGACTCAGCGGTGCAATCTCGGGCAAGACACTTAGACCTTCTGCATGTGTTTCCTTGCTTGTTTCATACAGGTAAGATGCAAATACCTGTGCCGCACGGCGGTCTGGAGGCTTCATGA